GGAGATTCCTCGAAACCCAACTTTTCTTCGTATATAATAATTAAGAGTGTCAGGCTCGTGGATGCAAATCACTTGACCGAAGCGTTAAGAAGTTTGCAAGTTTGCTCCCGGAGAAGCAGTATCCTTTGGGCTGAATTGGGAATAATGGCTCCTTCGTGAGGAGCCACTTGTAGAAAACTTGCTAAGCTCAGATATATCGTCTTAATGCACTTTCATACGGAATGGAAGTCGCTGCAATAATTGTATCTTAGGCGATGCATCGAAACCCAGTTGCTCTTGGCAGAAGCCGAAGCCACCATATTAATGCTGATGATGCTGTGGATGATGCGAATTATGACGTTAGTGTTGACGACGATGGTGTTGCTGGTAGAGATGTCTCAGTTCTTCCATTGCAGATGGCAATTGGAACAGGGCTGTCGAGAGGAACTGCAAAGTGCTGTTTAGTCTCGTCGTATTTACAGCATCAACATTTGCTACCACGTCACCGTCTTCCTGCCGAAGGTCATGTTCCAGCCTCAGCTTTCGTCTGCCAACCCCAGAACCAACCGATTCCGGGCTGGAAGATGTCTCATTTCGGCTCTTCCGCTGGTCCGCTCGTCAGCAACCGTGTTGGCCAACTCGTCAGTGCCGACTTTTCCGCAATAAATGACTCATTTCGAGTGCACACAACTTCGACTGTGAAGATGGCCCACGTTGTGCTCTTCTCCAAAAACACTGACCTCTGAGCGCCGAAACTGGCATCACAGCGCACCACAACACAGCCTATCAGCCACGAAAGGAAGCACGACTCTTCTGCAAAGCAGATTCGCACACTTTTCGATTAGAAATGCGGATGCACTTATTGCCATGCCTCCTCACCGCCTGCAGGCCCGCTCTTCTCCGCGACTGTGCGAACGTCCGGGTTGTCGAGTTGAACTTTTCCACCAAACCACGACCTCTCCGAAAGCACCACCGCCTTCCTCCCCCCCCCTACCCCACCCTACTAGACCGAATTACAAGCACGAACATGTCAGTTGGTACCAGTCGAGTGGCGACCACCAATCATGTCTGCCGAAGCCTGCCCTCCTCACCCTCCCCAATGCCTGA